CTAAACCCTAAACCCCAGAACCTTACGCCCTGAGCTCCACACCCGGATCCTTTCGGCTCCTAGAAGACAGCCGTCTTTTGGGCCTATGGCCGCCCAACTGCCCCAACCCTGAAGCAAAACCCCAGGTTAGGGTTTAGGGTTTAGGGTTTAGGGTTCAGGGTTTAGGGTTTTAGGGTTTAGGGTTATAGGGCTGAAGGTTCGGGGTTTCAGGATTTGGGGTTTAGGCTTCAGGAAGCAGGTCTTTGTTTTTTGTCTTATGTTTAGGGCTTGTCCCTGGTCCCTAAGCCATTTTCCACATGCGGGGTGGTGGGATTCCACGTATCCTCAATTGCGAATCCCCTGAGCCCTTTTTAAACCCCAAACCCTAAACCCTAAACCCTAAACCCCAAACCCTAAACCCAAAGAAGCCCGAAAGCCCTGCTGGACTTCAGGTGCTTTCACTGTGCACAGCAACTTCCTTGGTGCACTCTCCGCAGAACTGCGGCGTGGCACAGATCCTGACAGAACGGGGGCTGTAGTTCTGGGTTCCATCAAAGATGGAAGGAGCTTGGTATGATATCTACAGTGTTATTGTAAGCTAAGTTGCAAAAATGAACCTACCTTAAAAAGACAGGCCATGCAAGCACAAGCCTCAGTAAGAAACCCTAAACCCTAAAGAGTGCCAGTTGAACTCATTCAGCATGCTTTCGGGCTCTTGCATTCGGTGTTCCGGGTTTGCCGTGTGGGTTCAGGCCGTTTAGGGCTGAATAAAGGGGCCTTAATAAAACAAGTGCCTTTACTGTTTTGGGGGTTCCTTGTTATAGTTATAGTAAAATATATCCTCAAACTCTATTCTAATTATTATGGCCCCTGCATTAGGCTATGTGACCAGCAGATCTGAAGTGCCCTTGGGTTCTGGATTGCCAACACCTTCGGCGGCATAGACTCCATCAGCGAACCTCATAGAAAGCCTGAGTTCTGTAGAACTTTCAACTTTACATAGACTCTAGACTTTTCAACGTTTAGGGAAGATCCGAAAACAGGCGTGCCTGTCTGAGGGGTCCCTGTCTATATTAGTGCGAACTGGGCCTAAGCTCTACCTGGGTCGTCCAGAAATGAGTATTTCGCCTTCTTCAAGAACAATGCAATCGCAGTTCAACCTTATCCGTACCTGCGCAACCTTACCAGAAACAAAGAGGACCAACCACACACATGCCACCAACCTTACGAAAGACCTTACCGCCTAGCCCTAGAGGTCCTTGTGCCCAAGCAGTATAGAGTCTGGCCCCCCAAATACCCACAAAAAGTATCTACTATTTCAACAACCTTAAACCCTAAACCCTCAAACCCTAAATCCTAAACCATAAATCCTAAACCCTAAACCCTAAACCCAAATCATGGGCACATGGACCCTTCGGGTAGACTCTGCACCCTACATCCGAAACCCGACCCCTTGAACCAAAGCCTGAACCTAGATCTACTTGGAGGATCATGCGACTTAGTAAGTAAGGTTAGAACAGCTATAACTACCTTAATTGGGGTTCTATTACTTGTAGGTATAGTTACCTCAATTTTATCCCTAGTTACTAAGTCCCATGATCCTCTAAGTAGCCACTGCGAGAACTTTATAAACTTTTTTGGGCTCATAAAAGTTCAAACTTTTTTAACTCGGTTCTTGACGAATTGAGTTTAAGATCAAACAACCATCTTTCATACGAAGTCCAAAACCCTAAGCTAAACCCTAAACCCGAACCCGAAGAAAAGCCTCGAACCCTAAACCCTACACCCTGAACCCTCAAAGCAAACCCGCAAACCTTCAACCCCAATAGCCTATGGATCCGAGGTTGCAGAAACTTGGAGCTCAAGCTTTGGGTGACAGCGCGGAGTCTGCCACAAGGCAAAGAGCTTTTTTGTTGGTTTGGGGTTTAGGGTTTGGGGTTGAGGGTTTAGGGTTTAGGGGGGTTGTTGTTTTCGGGGTTCCTTTTGTTAGACTCCTTTCTTGGTTTAGGGTTTGGGGTCTACGGGGCTCCTCAGAGCCTCTACTCTAAAGGTTTATATGGGTAATTCTCTAAATTCCCTAAACCCTAAACCCTAAACCGGTTCCTTTGGGTCCCCAATATAGTACGGCACGCTTATAAAAAGGAACCCAAACAGGACCCTAATTTAGAAAACCACCCATATAACAATCAGGGGTTTGGTTCCGGCGATCGTATACGCCCTGAAACCCCAGAGTGGTTGGGGGCTCTTGAAGGGCCCTCTAAAACGGTTTAGGGTTTGAGGTCTAAGGTTTAGGGTTCTGAAAGACAGTTCCTTAAGTGCTTTAAGGGTTCAGGGATGTCAGGGGTAGGACAGATGCCAGATTAGCATACCCCCCTTCGTTCAATGCTTAACTTGCTTTCAGGCTGAAAGCTCGAGGCCCGAAGTCTACTTGGAAGATCATGGGACTTAGTAACTTAGTAAGTAAGGTTATAGCTACCTTAATTGGGGTTAGAAGTGCTTAGAAGTATAGTTCCCTTATTGATAACCCTAGTTACAAAGTCCCATGACCCTCCAAGTAGGATCCTTACTAAACCCTAGACCTATCATATCCCTTGCTGAGGGAGAGCGGTTTATGAATCAGGGGCTTACAGAAGGAGACCAGAAGGCTTGACGCTCAAGTTTCTGTAAGGGTTCTATAGAGGGTCTAGGGTTTAGAGGATTCTATGATACTATGAGATGTCAAAGGGCTTCGGGGTTTTATGGCTAAGGGTTGACCCCCAAACCCTGAACCCGTTGAAGGTTTAGGGTTTAGGGGTTTAGGGTCTGGGGGGTGAATGTAAAGTTGTAGGGGTCTGGGAACTGGAAGCCCTCTTGCTTCTTCTTTTTGAAACCATGAAGTCGCAAACACCAAAAACAAGCCTTATCGAATCCTACAAAGGTTGGGAATCCTGATAGATGGTCTAAAAAGCCTGCATAGAACGCTACTACGACCCTTACTTACAGGATTTCGGTGCGTAGAAACTAGGGTTACGAAATAAAGTAACTATACGTATTAAGGCATTGCCTTATTTCCCATGATCCTCCAAGTATGGAATCCCAAGTATCCCAAAGCCCCTCAGCCCAAACCTACAAGAACCATCATGGAACCCTTCAAGGAACCCCTTAAGGAACGAATGTCTGAAGCCCTAAACTTTCGGATTAGGGTTAAGGGTGTAGGGCCCTAAACCCTAAACTTTGAACCCGGATTCCCGAAACCTGAACGAAGTGAGACCTTCATAAACAAGAAACGTTTTCCCTGAACCGCAAACCCTGTCAGCCCTAAACCCGAATCCTCCTCTTCTGAAACCCCCTCTGCGGTAGATAGGAACCCCCAGAACCCTATTCTATTTTTTAAGGGCCCCTGCATTAGGCGGCGCCTGGAGACTGTCGGATCTCGATTAATCCAGTGCCGGGCTCTTAGCTGGCTTCAGACCCTAAGCCCGAAAACCCCCTAAGCCCAAGCCTTGCACCCTAAAGGGGTTTAGGGGTTTAGGGGTTTCGGTTTAGGGTTTAGGGTTTAGGGTTTAGGGTTCAGGGTTTAGGGGTTTAGGGTTTAGGGTTGAGGGTTAGGGTTTTAGGGTTTAGTCTAAGTTGGAAGTATGGGCCACGAACATGGACGCTTAGGCCTTTCTAGCGACCCTCAAGTGTACATATAGAGTATGTAGTAGGTGTGTAAGGATCCCAGGGTTAATGGCCCATACTAGGGGCCCATGGCTTCAACCTTAGATTTAGGTTTGTTTAGAGATTTAGGCGGCTTCGTCGGGCTCTTCAAGGCCTACGGTGAGGGGTACCATCATTAGGAGTCTTACAAGGCGTGTTACACTGGGTTTAGGGTGTACCCACTTTACCTAAAGTCTCCATTGCAGTTCCTTTTTCTGGTTTAACCAATTTGATTTTTTGTATCCCATCAGAAAACCCCAAAAACGGAACTACAACGGACACGATAGGTAGGGTACCAGGAGTTGATAGGGTTCTGCAATCTCTACTTTTTTGGTGGTGCTGAATATACTTCAGGAATCGGCTTTATGTTCGGGTTTGAGGTTCAAGGTTTTCGGGTGTTAGGGTTTAGGAATTAGGGCTTAGCCCTAAACCCGAAGCCCTGAACCCTAAACCCTAAACCCTAAACCCGAAGCCCCAAACCCTAAATTTAGAGCCCAGGGCTTCAGGATTCAGGGTGTCAGGTGTAGGGTTTATGAGTTTGAGGGATTACTGGGGGCCCTTTAGGGTTTAGGGTTTACTTGGAGGATCATGTGGGACTTAGTAAGTAATGTAATAACTACACTAATTGGGGTTATAACTACTTACAAGTATAGCTACCGTAAATATAAGTCCCATGGTCCTTTAAGTAGGGTTTAGAGGGTTGCACGCCTTTGTTACAGGTCCCGCAGAGTTTGGATCACGGCTTCCGAGTTGGAGATCTTTGGGCTTTGTGCTTTTGGGGGTTCACCCAGAAAACCCAATACACCTTAATTAAGGAATATACCTTAAACTATAGGGGCTTTAATATTAGGATGTAAGGTATATTCCTTAATTAAGGGGTATTGAGTTCTCCATGCAGGGTTCCTGTTTGATAGCATTTCGTAGGGCTGTGAAGTTGATTTGGTCTTCTACATAACGTAGGGGCCTTCATATAAAGAGCAGGTTTGGGGGTCTATCATATTATAGTTATAATAAGGAGCCCCCAAAATAGTATAGGTGATCATAGAGGCCCCTAATTACTCAAAGCTTCGGTTAGATGTGTGGTGAACCTAGGTGCCTTAATAGATTCGATCTAGGATTTTGGGCATCTTCTACTACACTCATGCTCGGGACTGTAAGGGGGTACCATTACTAATGATTCCGACTGCTGCCTGACATATACTATTTAGACATAACGGTTTTGGTTGTAGATGTTGGAGTAGCTGGGTTAGACTAGATGCTGTTGGTGTTCTGCATTTGTGCGCACATGCACAGCATGGCCGGCGTGAAGGTTTTGAGGTTATGATTCATTGTGGCAGCAGAATCGCTAACGCTGGTGGCTCAACAAACAATCCGCTTTGAATTCCGATGCGTTCTTCGTCCTTTTGAACACCACCCTTCCAGAGTATTTGAGCCCGACGAAAACGCCAGACCAACTCACATTAAGCCCAATTTCCTTTACCTGCAAAACCCCCTAAACTAGACTAACTAGAGCGTGAACGCTAAAACTCGACACCCTAAACCCCAAATAAATCGTAAACACGAAAGCCTACTCGTGAACCTTCACAGTCTCTTGGCAACTGCTGCTGCACCCTGGAGTGTCCCGGCAGTGGCCGTGGAACGCTTTCGCCTCTGGCCACTCCCCAGACGACGACTTGTACAAGCAAGGTTCACGTGGAGTCATCGCTTGAAGCAATCGTGGACCGACCAGAGCCTTATTTTGGGGACCCTCATCCTTCTTTGGGCTTGAGTGATTGGGCGAATGAGCTACCAAGACTACGTGCGCAGCCGCCTTGAAGGAATTGGAATTTGCTTTCAAATCTTGCTTTAAACTCTTGACCCCAAAACTAGACACCTACATAAAAACAACATCAATAGCAGGAATATTCCGCAATGTTCCAAAAAGCATTACAATATGAGATGCAAATGGTAGTAGTAGTAGTAGTAGTAGTAGTAGTACTAGTAGTAGCAGTAGTAGTAGTAGTAGTAGTAGTAGTAGTAGTAGTAACAGTAGCAGCAGCAGCAGCAGCAGCAGCAGCAGCAGCAGCAGCAGCAGCA